CCAATGCAGAGTATGTATTGTGAAGTGTCAAGGAGTGTCAAAAGGGTAATGCCTTGTCATGGAGAAATACTTTCATGTTTCCTTACTACTCCCTGGGCAGAAAGTACAACTACCATTATCACATGTAGATGTGTTGTGTTGTGTTATTCTTGAGGAACCACTTGGAATGCATCTAAACTAAAAGCAAAGGATGTTACATGATGCTTTTTAGCTGCTGTAGAAGCAGACTGGGTATCCTTGAACTGAACCCTCAGTAATCTGCAATTTTTGAAGTCTTACCACATGCTGAGCCACCATGTTACATCGGATATGTGATTACACACTTGCTACTGGATCATTAAATGCATAGTTATTAAGATCTTGCCCCTAAACTATATACTCTGTTAGTTGAAAGGACGACATAATTTGCCAGGGTGAAACTTAATACACCCTAATATACTGTGTTAACATATTCTGCCAGGAAGTTATTTTGACCTAAGCTTTAGCAGGTTCATGATCAGAGACCTTTGATTTTATAGTCTATAAAGGAGGTGGCACATTATTGCAGCTATGTCAGGGTCTGCAACCATGGCAGAGTTTCTGCTACATTCTTGTAGAAAACTTGGTATACAAATTCAGAGCCTGAGAAAATTCTTGAAGACTGTCGGAGTTGGTTAGAAAAGGCAGCCAGCCAGCTCAGTGTGGGGTCGAAAAAGCTGAATCAAACTTTATTAAAATGGAGGATCTTTATAGGGATTGGGGAGGAAGGTTCAGGAATTTGGGAGGAGCATGCTAATCCTCCAACCAGGATTGGGTGTGGGAAAATACATAAACATAGGGAACATATACATATGCATGACTGGGATAGACAGCAACAAGGAAAACAGGGATTGGTTGAGCTGCTGCGGCTCCACGAACTGTCCAATGACAGCTGACACCAGCTCTTGAGCACGATGACAGCTCAAGCTGCAGCTCAGGGACAACATTACACCCAAAAATCCTTTACAGCACAAGTTGTTTTACCACCATGATTATACTCTTTGTAATCATGAAAACCACTTCCAACAGAAGACTTGTAAGCAAACGTTGATTTGGTGTGTCTTCATTGGTAGGAAATTGAAATATGTTTATGAAGACACGTTATTTGTCAAACTATATATTTAAAGCCTAAAGCTTCTAGAATAGACTCTTTTTTTAAGCTTGTAATAAAACATATAATAACAGCTTATAATAAATCTGTTCATGAAATGGGCATGTGATAATTATTGGAATCAAAGTTGTGAAAAGACACTAGTAGTTCAGTGGCAAATGTTTGCAGTCTTATTTTTTGTTGGACAGTAGTGCAGCTAACCTGGGAAATATCTTTTTAAGCAATGAAGAATCCAGTTATAGACTGTCCTGAAACCTTAGAATATTTTCAGATTATCTGTAAGTTTGTCTCAATACTTTTTCCACTTCGAGAAACCTATTTAAATCTGAAAGATAGTAGGAACCTTTTTTCCTCTTTCAAATATTTTGCATCTCTTATCTGTCTTCATCACTTTCCTGGGAGGAAAGTATGAAACAGATGGGACTGTTCCACCTGGAGAAGGGAAGGCTCAGGGGAGATCTCTTCAATGCATTTGAACACCTGAAGGGGGTGTGAAGACAGAGCCAAGTTTTTTTTTCAGTGGTGCCCAATGACAGGACCAGAGAGGTGAAGAGCACACACACTGAAACAGAGGAGGTTCCCTCTGAACATCAGGAAGCACTTCCTTTGTCATGAGGGTGACTGAGCACTGGCACAGACTGCCCTAAGAGGTAGTGGAGTCTCCATCTAAGGAATACTGAAGAGCCACCTGGGCACAGTCCTGAGCAGCCAGATCTATATGGCCTGCCTTGGGAACCTCCAAGAGGTCCTATACTACCTCAACCATTTTATGATTAATCTAACAATATAATAGTAAGAAAAAAAATCTATTTGAAACCTCTTGATTTGGGGTTTGTTTGTAATTTTTCTTAAGTTTGTACTTTTTTAATAGACTATTTGGACTGTTTTTCAGTGTGTTAGTGAGCTATTTACTATCCTTGTAACCACTAAAATAGAGATGTGCTGAACACATGTAGTTCTGAGACTGAGATGCCTAATTATGACTGATTTGGTTATTATTGCTGTGTACTGCTGAGCATCAAGCTGGAAAAATGTAGGATCAGAAGACGGAAAACAGGCCTTTGAAGGTTATCAGCTCTTCGAGGAAGTGTGGTGTATCATTGCCAAGCTGCTTTAGTACTTCAGTAAGCAGCTATGATAATGTCAAAACTGAAATTTAATCACTAATCAGAGATATCTTACTGTACAATTTTCAGTCTGATAACATTCTGTTCATCCTGCTTGCTCAATCAGAAAGTAACTCATATCTTAAAGCGAGAAAGATGTTTTATTCTGTACTTCCTTAGTATAATTATGATAAGGGGCGGCAAATAGATAATACCTGAGTTCATATTGTTTGTTAACATGGAAGATTTAGGACCAAATAAGATAAAGATGTGTTTCAGCCTTCCTGAGAATTACTCATAAGGATTAAATTTATATTCAGCCTGGTTTGTTGTTTGTTTTTTTTTTTCTGGATTTCTAAACATTTGTTGCTTTCTAAAAACTGTTCGTCAGTCTTTCTTGTTAAGTGGAATTCTTTATCTCATTAATGCAGAAAGACTTGATAATTTGCATTTCATTTTCATCATATGTAAAAACCCAAACAAAGCAACCTAATGAAATAGTCTTTAAAGTATGTACTTTATATGTGCAGACATCAATCCATAGTGTATCACTTTTTTTTTTTTAAATTTCCTTTAACCCAAATATTTTGCTGTTTAAACAGCCTTTAATTAGGAAAAAAATAAACAATGAATTGTTTACTTTTTTAAAAGCTGTTGGAAGTATATATTTTCAGTAACCTAGTGTATGTCTAGTAACTAATATTATTCACAGGTGTGATGATTGTTTAAGGTTGCCTCATTTTTATAAATTTATTAACTAATATTAGTTCAGTTCCTTCCTGAGTCAAGAATTTTAAAAAGTGAATCTTAAAGAGAAAGGAAGTCTTTCTGTAATGTTACCTAACAAGCATGCATTCCTTGGATAATTTTTCTGATTTAAAAGATGATTTGATGCAGATGATGCATAAGTGGTTGCTTATGAGGAAGTAATTTGCAAAAAGCTTTTAAGGCATAAGTAAAAGAAATTTTCTTCTTCCCTTCCTCCATAGTGTTCAGTGTGGATTGCAGCACAGTTGAATGTCCTCCTGTTCAACAAGTTGTTTGCCCCCTGGATAGCTATGAAACCCAAGTCAGGCTGACGGCTGATGGCTGCTGCACTCTGCCCACAAGGTTGGTGTCCTGATGGCTCAGTATTTTTGACTTGTTCTCTACAATTAAAGTACTACTGTAAGCACAGGCTAATAACACATACTTCTGTGGCAAGAAACATACTAATACAGAATAAAAGAGATATGAAGTAGGTTAAAGATGTATTGGTCTGATGGAAATACGGGAATCTATCTTTTTGAAGCCAAAAAAAAAAATCTTCATAGTGCAAATGAATGAAGCTGATTTTTGCTTAAATTCTTTGAGGAGTTCATGTCTGTAGATTGACTTTCAGTTAGTTTAATTAACTTTGTAAAAGTAAATACCTTTGAAAAACTTTGGAAGATGTTTAACGGTAAGGAATTAAATGATGAATGTTCTGCCAGAGATATTTCCATCTAGTTAAAGGAAAAAAAAAACTTAGTTTTTTGTATGTGGAAGACCACAGTAAGAAGCTAAAAGATAATGACTATCTGGAACTGTAGGGAAACAGAAATTTCAAGTATTTGCTTCCATTTTACTTCTGTTGTTGTTCAAATGAGTGTAATTTATTGCGATTAAAAAAATAAAACACTATAGAATTTCTGTTTCACAATTATGCACCACTATTTGAGTTCCTGTTTTTACAACAAGTTTCCCAAAACCTGATTCAGCAGTATGCCAAATAAATACAAATTCAAGCAAAAAGTATCATCAATGAAAATATTTTACACCAAAAAGAAAATATTTCATGTAGACGTAATTAGTTGTTTTACTTAGTATGAAGGTCTTCTCACCGTAGAATATTACCCTATTCTCTGTCCATTGTGTAAAGCAGTGATACACTTGGAAAGAATTCAGAAAGTAGAAGATGGCGAAGGTTGTGTAATAGTGGATCTTCTCTGTTGGGTACCCTTTTGGGGTCACATTTAATATGGTGACTTTTTTAAAACTGGAGTTTCCATATGGGAGTCTCTTATTGCATGGAGATTTAAAACCATTTATGAAAAAAAAAAAAAAAAAGCCACCAAAAAACAGGAAAAGAGATGGGAGACGATATCATATGATGCACTAATCCTCGCTACTAAAATTTGCAAATATATTTTTAAACTTGGCAAATTTTATGGTCTGATACTTTTAAATAGTTCTATCCTTACTCAGTGAATACTACAAATGTTCTGTAATTCAGAGTAGTTTTCTTCTGTTTTCTTGTTTTCTGAATTTTGGATCAGATCATGGGTACGGATTCTCAGAATCCTTCCTTTATTCTTTAACATATTTTCCACAAAATTCCAAGGAATTGCAGTGATACCATATTAGTTGCAAGCTGACCTGGCTCATTGTGACTGCATAGGAGGCTGTAGATATTATGTAGTCATCACACTGGCATTGTGAATACAGCTCAGCATGTTCAAGACAACTAGAATAGAATGTTAGTAAGGACTGCATTCAGAAAGATAGATTATAAAGTAAATCTCAGATTATTATTTCATAAATTCACAGTTTAGATTAACACTCAGAAACCTTGATATGATAGAAAGATGAATGGTACATTTTTACTTCGAAAGTTGTTTCAACTTACTGGACTAAAAAGTGATATATAGGGCAAATTATTTTTATTTCACAGAAGTAAAATTGTGTTCTATTTTTGTGCAACCTAATATAACTTGTGGTTTGATTTTTCTAGTGCTTGCATGGAGGGAATGAAAAATATCCTCTTTATTCTTTGTCAGTGATAACTTCAGTGTTCCTTCTATCAGGGAACATAATGTACCAAGAAAATAAAACTTCATTACTTCAGAGAAATGACCAGTTGGAAATATTTTCTATTTCTAGCGCACACATGGGAACTATCCTTAAATAAAACACCTAGAGCAAACATGTTCTTGAAAGAATCTTTTTATTTCTTTGCAAACATTTAAAAATAAAATCAGTTGGTTTGCTGGGTGTTAACTGCAGCTGATGTCTGAAGTGTACTTGTCCATGTGTGTGGTAATTCAGTGATGAAACCAGTATTCTCATCTCCTGCACACAAAGACCCCAATTGTACAAGCAGGCTTTTACAGTGTGTGAATTACTAGATAACTGTGAATTCCTGAAACCTCTTGGAAATCATTTGTTTTGCGTTACTGGGATCAGAGTTTAACAAGAGATCAGAGCTGGGAAAGATGAGTACTTAGCTCCTGGAGTCTTATGACCTGATCTTATGATCGGAGCGGTTTTTGTGTTAATACCTCTGCCCTCCTTGACGTATAAAACTGCAAAAAAGACCACAATTAGCATAACCTAGTGTTTCTGCAGGCAGGTAGAAACAATTATAGGTATCTTGTACTCCTTTTATAGTTTTTAATTTTGTGGGTTGATCTATGTTGCTGCATGTTGCTATTTGGATTGCCTTAATTCAGCCAAAGCAATAATACACTCTTAATTGGAGTAGGCGAGAAGAAAAGATGAAAAACTGAATCTGGCAGCAATAAGATCGTATAAGGGATTTACATATTGTGTGCCTACTACAGATATATTTAGTTATTTTGATTTTAATATACTGCTGTGCTTTTTAAGGAAGACCATGCTGTAGTCCACACTCACGTGCTGCAGGTAAAGATGTTACTTGAAGGGGGGAATAAAGGAACACAGACATAGGGATAATCAGAAAAAAAAACTTGGGAGAAGCTTAGAGGGAAGAGAAGTGTATGTATGAAAAGAAAGAACAGGAAAGGAAACAGTGCAATTAACTGGAACATGAAAATCAAATCATTTGGATTCAGCTTCAGTGTTTTCTCAGATTTGAGGAAACATTGGAGCATTGTATTTGAAGGATCTCTGAGACTTGCATGTCAAAACTTTGGAAAAAGGCAAATGAAGTGCAGATTTATGGATGAATGAATCTACACTGGGAAAAGGGGATGTTTTCCCTTAATTTTGGAATTTCATAATAAAAAAATAAGAATTGTGAAGTATTAACATTGCATTGTCTGACTTTCAGTTTCAGGTCACCTAAATGGGTATCGTATTTTTTTTAACTGTTAGAATTAAGTTCAAAGGGAGTATCACTGTATGATTTTAGTGTACATTTGAGAACAATTTATTAAAAGCAAAGAGATATTGTTCCTTAAGGTCATAGTCTTTAGACTTCATTAAACTATTTTTGTTAAGGTTCTGGACTTTTTGACGAAATTATGATCATCTATTTCATTTACTGCCGTTAAAATAAAGGCCTAATACCAGCAGAACCAGAAAGCAGTTAAGGAGTGTACCATGGCTAAGGATGGATGACACGTTACTCAGTTGGTTAAGAAGTAGTTGACAACTTCATATACAGTAGGACAGGATTGACTTCTGTCCCACATCTTGTTCTTGGTCTGTTTCTTGTGTGTAATATACTAGAAAAATGAAGATTATTAAATCTGGTGTTAAATTGGCATTTGTTTTGAGTGACCTCTTGAATGCATATTGATAATAATGAAAACTCTGCGAGCAATACCGGGAGAAAGTGGGACTAGTAGACATTTGATACCATAAATTCTTGTTCTTGCATTCAGAGGTTACATTTGGTGTCACACTGATTTCTAAGACAGTGGTTCAAACAGAACAGCTTAGTGATTGGGCATCGGCATCAAAATACAGGTTGCTTCAGCTTTCATGAGACTTATGTTATGAGACACCTTAAATTTCCAACTACTATGTTAGGGAAGCTAAATGTAAGGAAAACAGGAAAATAGCTATTATAGTAGGAAAACTATTACATTAGTAAAGCTTAGAAAAGTCTGTCTCTGCTCTTGGTAAAGATGCTCCCTCTTCCAAGGAGCTTGTTGAAGAAAAAAATGTATTAGAGCTCCTACAAAACCCATGGTATTACAGTTTTGTTTATGGAAGTTTGTCATCTTCTGTTACAAAGTTAAATGAAGAGATGATCAATATGAAGTGTACAGAATCTGTTACCTTCAGATGTTCCCAGTTCTTCTGTTGTGAGTGAAGTTTCTTCAAATTTTCAGATTCCCTTGAGAATTTATTTCTGAGTGTACAAATCTTTATTAAAATGTGTTTAATTTTATCTATGAAAAATGAAAAGCAACAACAGGAGCTTATTTCAATGATTGTCATTGGCTTATATCTTCATTGCTCACATAGCTATTTACGTTTTTCACAGGATTTTATACAGCAAAATAAACAGCATGTTTGCACCAAATATTTTTGGATCACCTTTTTCTTTGTGACTGTTCTCAGAGTCGTTTGAAAGTTTAGTCTTACTAGTCCTTACTAGGTCTCCACTTCTTGCTATAGTTTTATATTCCTGCTTCTGTGCTGTTGCCTGTTACAGATTTGGTAATTTCAAGATTCACTCAGTGCTCTGTTCTCAGAGATATTTCACACACACACACCCCTTCCCCCCACCCAGCTATTCTTGGTCAGTCTTTTAATAAGACCAGATAAACCAAGAAAACTCGATAGAGAATAGAAAGATGTTAGTACCATGCCAGCATAAAAAAGAATAAAAGCTAAGTAATTAAATCTGGTAGTTTTGGTATCAGTTGTAAGAAAAATAGTGGGAAAACTGATAGAGGACTGAATTAAGGATTAAAGGATGTAATTATAGCTAGAAGCAACCGATATTGCGTTGACAGAAGCAGTTTGTGGAATCTCATTATGTCTTCTGAAGATACTAAGTTTGCCTTAACAGTTTGACCATCAGAGTGCTTTCCTTTTCAATTTCAGTCTTCCATAGTCACTAGTTTGTTTTGTTTTGTTTTTTTGGTATTGTATTCTAACTTTAGAAAACAAAGAAACAAAAAACAACTAGGACTTTTTATTTAATGTTGTCTCACAATGTTTACTTTATAAAATGAAAATGTATCCCCTTCCCCAAACTACTTAACATTGGAGAAGAACATTTCCCACACTTCTCCTCAGAGTTTGAAAGTGAATCAGTGTCATTCTCCTTTACCTCCTGAGATGGACTCTTGCAGCATGCTCATGATGGTTTCTGTATCTTGCTGATAATACAGGATATAGTTATATCCTTCTGAGATGAGAGGTACATCCAG